CAAGCCTTTTTTCTAGTTTCAGGACAACAACTTGTGTGTAAGTGTATGGATCTTTATGAAATTATACTACAAGGTTCCATATCACAAAGGGAAAGCTGGGTTTGAGTTTGGGGGTAATTGCCTTAAACGTTTAGGAATTTGGGGCCAAAAAGGGGCAAAAAAACAAGCATTTTTCTAGTTTCCAGACAATAACTTGTGTTCAAGTGTATGGATCTCTCTGAAATTGTAATGCAAGGTACCCTACCACAAAGGGAAGGCTGGGATTGAGTTTGAGGGTGATGAATCATAAGGGGGTTAAGAAAAATGTGGGGGGGGGGGGGGGGTTCCTTTTTTTCCTTTTTTTTTTCTTTAAAATTTTCCATTTTAAGATGGTTATTTTTTATTTATATATAAAAGCAAATAATGATGATATGGTTTGATTTCATCAAAAATTGAAATATTGGGGTTCTTTGATATGCTGAATTTAACCGTGTATTTAGATTCTTAATTTTTGGTCCCGTTTTCAAATTGGTCTACATTAAGGTCCAAAGGGTCCAAAATTAAACTTAGTTTGATTTTAACAAAAATTGAATTCTTGGGGTTCTTTGATATGCTGAATCTAACCGTGTATGTATTTAAATTTTGGATATTGGACCATAATAGGTAAATTAAAATTTTTAAAGTTCTTAGACCACATTCATTCTGTGTCAGAAACCTATGCTGTGTCAAATATTTAATCACAATCCAAATTCAGAGCTGTATCAAGCTTGAATGTTGTGTCCATACTTGCCCCAACTGTTCAGGGTTCGACCTCTGCGGTCGTATCAAGCTGCACCCAGCAGAGCATTTTATTATTATTAACATTGATCTTTTGATGTGGTCTTTTCATAGATTTATGACGAGGTCAAGGTCAGATGAAATCTGCCAGACAGACATGTACACTTTACACCAAATATAGTGACCCTCTTGCTTATAGTACCTGAGAAACAGATAAAACCATGTAAACTTATTTAAGGATCTGGTTTTGCTGATCATTTTTGGTATATAAATTTTCTGTCTATTATAGTTTTCAGGCTAATAGGCATAATGGAAAATAATTGGTGTCATTTTCTCTATCTATAGTGGTTTTCAATATAATAGACAAATTCTCCTTTATCCTTATGTTCTATATTAAACCATGTTGCCCTTGTTGGTTGGCAGTTGGGGTCATCGGACACATTTTGTAAACTAGACACCATAATGATTAATCAAATTTGGCCTAAAAGTTTCAGAGGTGAATATTATTTGTGTAAAAGTTAATGGACTGTAACAAATGCCAAGTGAGGAAAAAAGCTCACTTGAAACTTAATGGGACATGTGAGGTAAAAAATTAGAAAACTGACGTAGGAAACCTCTCGCACATAAACAAATATAAATTCAGATACAAACTAAGCAATATATTTAATCGGGTTTCAAGTTTCGGGAATTTTGTCACAGGATAAAATTTAGGATATATGTCCTATGTAAATATAAAGTGTCTTACAAAAAAACCTAACTACTTGATGAAAAACACAACACAAACTTATTTTTATGCCCTACCTACGATATTAGAGGGGCATTACGTTTTTTTGTCTGTGCGTCCATTCGTTTGTTTGTTCATTTGTCAGTCCTGCTTCAGGTTAAAGTTTTTGGTCAAGGTAGTTTTTGATGAAGTTGGAAGTCCAATCAACTTGAAACTTAGTACACATGTTCCCTATGGTATGATCTTTCTAATTATAATGCCAAATTAGAGTTTTGATCCACTGAACAAAGAAAATGATAGTGCGAGTGGTCAGCATCCATGTACTTATAATAATGGACACATTCTTGTTTTTTGACTAGCTCGAGTACTGCATTTTGTGAGCTGCCGGTTTAATAAGACAAATAAATAATATAAAGATATTGAATTGATATTGTATAGTGTATAGTGTATATCTGTATATTATTATATACACTATACACTATACAATATCAATTCAATAACTCATACTATAAAAATAATCTCATCTTAACCTTTTGTATTTCATTTTGAAAAACTAAATAACTACATTCCAATGATTCTAGCTGACCAGGTAAAATCCCACTTTTAGGAACTTGAGTCCTTTTGTCAATAAACGTATTTACACTTTTGGTATTTAGCTATATTTTGCCCCCGAATGACCTTAGATCTACTCCGAATCACCTTTTGACGTCTGGCAACAATCACTTTTTAATTGTGACGTCAAATGTTTTGAATTATGAAGTCAAAGTTTACGGGAACCTGTGTGATTTTACGTAATTGCTGACAAATTTGCATACAAGTGTAAATACGTCTATGCCAGCAAAACTCTAGTGTAGGACCTTACCAGTGAAATGAGAAAAACAAAAGATGTTTTTGTGCATTAACTGCATAGTTGTGGCAAATATAACACAACACAAACAATAATCTAACTTTGCTGACAGCCTGTCATGCTCGTTGGAGTCGCCAGATTATATCATATAAATATTCATAAATACTATTATTGCAATGCATACATAATTCAAAATCAAAATTGAAAAAGGAAAACACCAATTAACTGGAAATTACAATTAAAGATTAACTCTTTTAATTATTCTTATTAAAGCAGAGACATATATACATGTATATAGACATATATACATGTATATAGACATATATACATGTATATATGTCTCTGATTGATGTGATTCATTGTCATACATTTTAAACTGCAAACAAAGAATTATTGGAATCTGAAATAAATTTGAATTCTGGAAAATTGATAAGAAATGTACATGTATGATGAAAGCTAACCATAAGTAGATATAAGATGTGGTATGAGTGCCAATGAGACAACTCTCCATCCAAGTCACAATTGTAAAAAGTAAACCATTATAGGTCAGAGTACGGCCTTCAACACGTAGCCTTGGCTCACACCGAACAGCAAGTTATAAAGGGCCCCAAAAATGACTAGTGTAAAACCATTCAAACAAAAAAATGTTCTAATCATATAAAAACCGAGAAACGAGAAACACTTATGAACCACATCAACAACGACAACCACTGAACATCAGGTAATGTGTCGCTCGGGGTGTCATATTTTGCATCTCAAGGGGGGAGGCATTTATTAAAACAAGGATAGATTTGCTGTTAATTCGGTCCTTATCCGATAGCTTGTAATTCAAGCAGAAAAAAATGAAGGGTCTATGTCCTGATTTTCAAGATGTTTACAAGCCATTTAAAATTTGACAGGAAATGATTCTGTAGATTTTTCATACATTTAACATTGGCACCTTTTTTCTTTTATCTAATGCGTGACATTTTTCAATGCACCCCTCTAGTTAAAACAGTTTATTATACACAGGCGTATTAAGGAAATGTAGTCCAGCAGAGTTCTCAATAAGTGGTGGGTCCGAAGGTTTTGCCCACCGCCATATTCAAAGGACTGACTATTTTGTTGTTTTTCAATAGAACATACATATACATGTAATCTATAGTGAGGATCAGCAGATTATCTTCAAGGACTCTCTGATAAAAACCAAACGTAATATGTTGATATTTATGTTTTCATGCAGACAACATTGATTTATTCAAACATTTTTTAGATTTCTGACGTTATTCCCATGACTTTTGTATGTGACCATGTATGTTGAACAAAAAATATTGGACACTGTGACTCTGAAAAGAAACTATCTCTGAACTAAAGATATTTGTAAAACAATTTTTATTGTAATGAGCATGGTCTTGACTAGAATAAAAACTACATATAGATTATATTGAGTTATCATGATTTGTGTATTCCTAGTACAATATATAATTTTACTTATGTATTGATTGGTGTATGATTCTGAATTTTACAAGTTGGTTCTACAATATCATTAAAACTATACGATGGTTCACTCTGCATTAAAAGCCACAATAAATCTAAAATTAAAACTATATGGTGATTCACTCTGCATTAAAAGCCACAATAAATCCATGATTTAAATATATGTTAAAAGTTTAAATTTGTATCCCCCCTTTTTTACTAGTATGACACATACTGTACAACTAGAATTTACAATTTGTTCCAGAATTTTTTGTTTACCTGGAGTACATTTGTATATAAGAAATACCATGAAGGCAATGTATATTGAGACTATGAAAAAGGGTAGGTACATGTAACTAAACATGCTATAGAATATATCGACCTAATTTAAAGGAAACGAAAAAAATATGAGTGACAAGAATATAATGGCAAAAAAAGTTGTGAACAGTCCTGTTTAAACTAACTTAATTCTTGATATTTTAATGTGGCTCTTTATTCCAGGCTTGTGACTGGCAAGTTGTACTGTATTCATAATAATAAGCACCTTGGTTTTATTTAGAAATTAAAATTTGGGTATCTTATATCAATGAAAATGATAAAAGACTTGGGTCTGCTCTAGAAGATTTCCTGCATAATGAGGTTATATTATTTAATCACAAAATTTGTAGGCAAATCTAAGAGTACTATCACGATTGTGGGTGTTATGGTGCATGAAAATTGGTGAATACAGTATTACTTGGCTGCATTACCCACCTCCCTCCTCAATTTTTTTTTTTCTTTTTCTTTCATTTTTTTTTTGAATTTTCTATTCTTTTTTTTAATATTCTTTCTTTTCTTTTCTTTTCATTTCTTTTCTTTTCATTTCTTTTCTTTTCTTTTCTTTTCTTTTCTTTTCTTTTCTTTTCTTTTCTTTTCTTTTCTTTTCTTTTTTTCTTTTTTTGAATTTTCTTTCTTTCTTTTTTCTTTTTTTTTTCTTTTCATTTTGTTTTCATTTTTGTTTTCTTTCATTTTTTCTATTCATTACAGGTATGTACACAAGTTTCAAGCACATGCATTATTTTTTTCTTTTTTATATAAATATATATATACATGTATGTACAGTCTTCTTAAACTTGTAGAAGATTTTGAACAATTGTTTTTAGAATCAGAACTCAGTACTGGTGCCCCAACGTTCCAGTAGTTGTTTTGTTTGTTGATGCACTGCATTTTTTGTCTTCATTTGGTTGTATTTTCCAAGCATTTTAAATCCAACAATCATCTTGGCTCTCTCATACTGTTTAGTAAAAGACCTGTTTCCTGGATTTTCCATTGCAAGTCTTCAGTATATTGTAAAACTTTTAACTTCTTCACCGGTTCCTAGAATTGTATCAACCAGTGTTGTTGTTATTTTGTCTGGAAAAAATGATTTATTGATTTATTACATTAAAGAAGACTAATGATAAGACTAATGATTTGTAGATCGAACAGAGGTTTTTTTTTTATATATTTTATTGTTTTAAAAAGAAAGTGTTTAACATCGTCTGTGACATTACAATGTTCACTAGGAGTAGGCCCGGTAAGGCCCCTTTTTGGCCCCAAAATATAGCATTTCAAAAAGTTGTTAAAAATGTAAACTTTTAGTTATTTTTTTGGAAAGAAGAATCATTGTGTTTAATAAAGATGGGCTGTTTTTAACAAAACAATGCATATATATGCATCAGGTACTTGCATCATTAATTCATGCAAAATTACTGAAATCTTTACAATTTTAGCATTTGTGCTTATTTTAGACGGGTTTTTTGTCTAAAATGGAAGTGACCGCACTTGTGTTCAATCTTAACATTTAAATATATGTTGTATTTGATGATGATACATAACATATATATAAAGGTTGAGACTGAACACAAATGCGGCCACTTCCATTTTAGACAAAAACTATCTGAAAAGCGACGTTTTGTGGCAAATGATAAAATTTTTATATTAAGCTTGAATTCGGACGGTTCACCATAACAAATGGACAAAAATGGCTGTATTTACACCTTGAAAACTAACGTATGTAGTTGGAAAAGTTTTCCTTAAGGCCTGGCATCCACTAGATATATAAAAGTTACTTAGTAATACCATGAAAATCACAGCGAGTGTCACATATAGAGCAGAATTTGCTTACTATTACCCCAAGTGTTCGATGGGATTATTGTTGCTCAGTCTTTTAAGAAAAATGACTAAATACAGATGGTTTATTTTTTATTTCCACTCTTTGATATCTCCTTTGTAGGTAGCTCCTAAACTAATTTAACAAGTTACTTTTAACAAAATAAATTTTAAAGTTTTCTATATAGTGTTTTATAGAATCTTGTTTGTCTTTTGGTTATTTTTTCTTTTTTTCCATGGTGTTGTCGGTTTCTCTTCAACTAATGCATTTTGGACCCCCCCCCCCTCATTTTGAGTGTCCCTTTGGTATCTTCCGACTCTTTTTATAAGTGGATGTAAAATTTGCTTACTCGATTTAACTTAACATTGTCAAGCTGATTACCAAATAAAAAACGTATTAAACCATTCCCCTTTATAGATAACTTTCACAAAAGTTTCCTATCCAAGGTCTTTCGGCCGGACAGACAGACAGATGTATCTCTACATGCATTTGTCAGTTTTTATATTTGAAAAAAAATCATGAAATAAAAACAATATCTAATATACTTAGGGTTTTCTCAAACAGGTCGGGAACACTACCTTATATGGATATGCAAAGATTAGCATACTGATGTCCTCTCACATGTAATTGTTTATTTACGTATGACGCATTTTTTTTTCATGCGTTTTTGACTAATCCATTAAATGAATAACAATGCATGATGGACTACTACGTGTTTACGATCAACCCGAGAACACGTGTTATTTACTCAAATACAACACATTTTTTCATGCATTGCGGGATTAACAATTTCGCTTAGTTTTTCACTTTTTGTATCCACATTTATAGTCCGTGATATAAAGTATTCGTTCCATGCTCAGATTAAGAAAGAGTTGTTTTTATGCCAAGAAACGAGTGTTTGAATTACTCGAAATATAGCCATTTATATGATTAATAATTACACGAAGATTTCAGGTATTCGTCAACAAGACAACAACGAAACAACAGTGAAAAACACAATTACCCATAAGACAAACTTTCATTTAGATAGTTAAAAAAATAAGGGATCCTTGAAGTTTAGGTTCGTAAAAAAGAGGAAGACCCTTTGTGTGTCAAATATCTGTTGGGGTCAATAAAATTTCCAAACTTTTCATAAAATTGATGTTATGATATTGTACCTTTTTTATGATTAAAAATTTAAATCGAGGAAGGGTATTTATTTATTAATTTGTTTTTGAGAAACAAACACGTGTAATTGTCAATCGGGGCTATTTATAACCGACTATACGGTATGGGTTTTTCTCATTGTAGTTGCCTATAATTGCTTATATCCACTTCATTTGAACTTTGGTAGATAGTTGTCTCATTGGCATTCATACCACACCTCCTTATTCTTTTTTATATACTAACACCTTTCAGAATGTCTTGATTGGTTTTCCATTATCTTGAAAAGAGATATTTACTATAGAATACTGTTTAATATTTTTATATTTAGAATTTGACAGGTACAGAACATGTATAAAACCTATATCATCTATCATATTTTATCAAAACTACTCAAGACATTTCTTAATTCTTCTTTGAAAATGTTAACAAAATCTATAAGTATTGATTTTTTGGCATATTTCAGTTTTTGGGGCTTTTTTCTATTTCAAACTGTTCCCTTTGTTCTGAAAGTAATGAAGCAATATTTTCCTCAATCAATGCAAGCAGCTGTAGTTTCGTTTTGTTTTCGTCTTTGCAAAGTTCGTTTTCTTCTAAAGTAGATATTGGAATTTTTTATATTTTTAACGGACTCGGATATTTGCCAATCTTAATAAAATCATTTATGGTGCTATCATTACGTGTTAAGATTATTTATACTAATTTTTATGAAAAAGTCACCGATGAAATTTTTAAAAATAAGATAAATATACAGCAAAAAAAAAATCCGTTTTTTTTTCTAAAATCCTGAAACTTTGATAAAAATTAATTAATTCCAAAGAATTGTTATACAATTTTAGAACATACTTATGTAAAGAAGGTTTTCCAAATGTTTATTTTTTTTTACAAAAATGCGCTTGTGTTTATCTTTTGAAACAAAAAAAGTTAGGTATGCCTTTCAAAAGGATAGTATTGACAGTATTGTCCACAAAACCGAAATTTTGTGCAAATGTTTAAAACTTTGACCCTATTTATCTCTTAAAGTAGCACATGAAGGTATATTTTTTATTACATATTTGAATTGACTAGGTGTAAATTAGCTTGTATGCAAATTTTCGTAAAAAAATTACCGTGAGATTAAAACTGTATTGTATGCCCTTATACAGGATACAAAATAATCCCAAAGCATATATGTCACACTCACAGGTCAAATTTATTCGTTCATTATGTGTTAATTTACGTTTTTTGATTGAGTTAAGCCTTCCGATTGATATTTTATAGTGTATTTTTCTATGTTGTGATGTTATACTATTGTTTCAGAAAAGGGAGAAGGTTTGGTACCATTAAAACGTTTAATCTCGCTGCAAATGTTTGCACCTGTCCTAAGTCAGGAATCTGATTACAGTAGTTGTCATCTGTTTATGTAGTTCATACACGTTTCTTGTATTTATATAGATTAGACCGTTGGTTTTTCCGTTTGAATGGTTTTACACTAGTAATTTTTTGGGGCCCTTTATAGCTTGCTGTTCGGTGTGAGCCAATGCTCCGTGTTGAAGGTTGTACCTTGACCTATAATGGTTTACTTTTATAAATTGTCACTTGGATGGAGAGTTGTCTCATTGGCACTCATACCACATCTTCCTATATCTATATAGAGATAGACATGTAACCCATTCCTTAATTCAAACCGTTTTGACGGGTTTATAAGGACTCAAAATATTTCTATTCTGGACAGCGGTCACTTCATTGGAAATTTCACTGTTTCACGTGAAATTAATCCACAGGTACAATGCATAACAATGGACAAAGCCTGTTCAACTACTTTTACAAGGCGAAAAAGAAAGTCGAATCGTGAAGCCAGTAAACAATATTTTTTTAATCTGAGCATGCAATTTGAAGATTATGTTATATATTTTACATTAAACACATTCGCTGAACAAAAACATTTATTATGTGAGTCCCAGACACTATATTAGTTGACAGTTTTTCCACTAACTTCACTTGTTTTTAAGCGGTAGTAAACTTGTAGTAGCCCACAATGCATTGTAGTTCATTGAGTCAATTGGTCAGTTTTTCAAGGCCATGTTTACCTTCTATTTCGGAAATTACTATGCAAATATATTCTGACGTCAGGAAATCTAGAGTTCCCGACCTATTAAAAGTATAATAAAACTGAAAAATGTTGACTCAATCAGCTGCACAAGAATCAAAACAAAGAAAAGGGAAGGTCATGATGTAACTTCAAGACAACTTCCTTCCTCGGGATATCACTTACTAATGGCAGTCGTGAAACGGAGAAGTTTAAACAAATACGCCAGGCTGGTTTAAATGAACTAAAATGTAATTTCACCTGGCAGACCAATCATATCAAAGTGTGGTTCCTGAACTTATCGGCCATTATTTTCTTATACCTATCAAAGTACGGTATAGAGAAAAAATATATTGTACGCTCAATATACATTTTGTGTCCTCAATATAATTATATGGTGTGCATAAATTTTTATTTTTTGTGCTCAATGCAAATATATTGTACGCACAAATAGTGCACACAAATAATTATTTTGTGCGATCTATTTAATATCATATTGTGTGCTTGATATAGCTATATTATGCGCACCATATAATACATTGTGCGCTCAAATTCTTAGAATTTTCACGAGATATGCTGCTCTTATGTATACTGTTCAGTCAGAATGAAGTATTTTATATTATAGGATTAAACGCCTTTTTAAAGGAATTTATTGGTGTATAAACTCAACCAATTCACTCACAAACACGAAAAAAGTCCATATAATTATATTGAGCACACAAAATGTATATTGCGCGTCGGGATTAATTTTCACAAAGAACGCTCAGAATAGATATTTGAAAGTTAAGGATATATATATATATATACAAATCATCCAAAATACCAATTCTGCGTGCATGTTCCACGTCAGGTGCCTCTAACTCAGTGGTTGTCGTTGGTTGCTGCCTGACATATTTTTTTCGTTTATTGATCCAGCATGAATGAAGCTGTAAGTTTCCTCCGTTGAACTGTTTCCACTTTGTCATGTCAGGACCATTTATAGCTTACTTCACGATATTTTTAAGCCCGTACAATGATCTATTGTTGATCACATCAAATTTCTTTAGTTTC